TGAATGCATGATTGGATGGATGAGGATCTTTTGATCCTTTCTTTATTGGATTGGATCCTGCCCGAAGTATAATATAAAATAAAGGAAATAGTGTTAATTTCTGCATCTCTGGGGATCGATATTTCTAAAGCCATTAAATTTAGCACGCCATATATGTATGGACCATTTCTCATTAGTCATGGTGTTGGATGGATGAAGGGAAACAGTGACTTGCATCAATCTCAGTTGAGGTAGACAGTGCTTGCTTTGTAATTTGTATATGAGGCCAAAGCCTTGTTATTGTCGGCAAGCAGCAAGTGGGCAAAGCAACAACAGTATATTCATGCATTTGAGATATAGGCTTCTTTTTTTATGATGATTTCTTCATTTATGGAAATAACAAATTATATGGAAATAGCAGGAAAGTCAATAAGATATGCATTTGAGATATAGGCTTCTTTTTCGTTGTGTTGTCTCCTTACTGTTTGGTTTTTTAAAATATAAATGGGTATATATTATGAATCCAAAAATTATTACACCTAGATAGACTAGGGCTGTTTGTGTTCCCTACTTCTATTCTATCACCTTGGTTTTATATATCCAAGTGCTTTTGCCCCTCTTATTGTTTCTGGCCCTTTTCTCGTGGGCTTTTTGGACTTCTTTGCCTCCAGATCCCCAATCAACCATCAACCAATCCCATTGGGTAAAATAAATGGTTTGTCACACAACGCATGATTCAAGAATATCAAAGGCAAAACTCGAACCATCAAATTAACAACTTCTAAAGATAAAAAGTTACACTGAACTGAAATGAAGCAAACAGATGAGAGACATTGACCACTGGCACTGGCTAGACAAAAATTGATCAGTTCGTGTGTAAGACTTATTCGTTTCATCTCTACATCGACAGCACCAAAAACTGCATATACTTGTAAAAAAATCATGGTATAGAAGAAGCTGAGGACTTGCATGGTGGTGGTGGTCGCTGCAAAAGCCTAACACGGGGCTTTTCAGGTGGGGCAGGGGCTACCATACGGACGGGATTAGCGCGTCTTGGAGAAGGTGGAGCACTTCCAATTCTTCGGCCTCCTAAGTTCACAGAGAAACCAGCTGCGTTTGCAACTTGAAGCACCGTATTACCTGCATCATGGATATCATCATGTAACGCTTGTGGCGTTGCAACGTAGCTTTTGGCCATTTGACTATTTTGTGAGAGACACAGTAAGCCAACAATTGGCAATATTATCAAAAACAAGCGACAAGGAGCCATTGTTGGTTCACAGTTCACACAGTCACTTGAGCTACTTAATTCTGGTTTGAGTTCTTTCTTTGTAATGCTTGAAATATATATATCATCCAGAAATTAAGGAAAATAAAAAATTATATATTGTTGAATAAGATTCCATTGACTATGTCAACTTGGTCCTTTCAAGGACTGCTGCCTTGAAAAGTTTTTATTTATTTATTTTTTCATCCCATTGAATATTGTTATGAAGATTTAGGATGGATTGTTTCTGTTGTTTTGTTGTGCTTTGTAAATCTTAAATCATAATCAAACTCTACACGAATGGATTATAGACAAAACCCCATCCCTACTTCTACTTGTGTGATGAGCAGAAAGGAAAATTAATATTTTATGATCATTGACTAAACCCCATCGCCATATATATATGGATTGGATTATAGACAACAAAACCCACATCCCCACTGCTTTTCAAGTAAAATATTTAGACGGCAAGAAAAAGACCAACAACTCCTGTCCTGTTTATTTCGAGTTGCATTTTCTTTAATTAAATTATTCATTATATATTCCAACGAGAAGATGTCCACAACAAATGAATTCAAACTTGATCATACCTCTTGTAATATTAACAAGGGAAAGAACTACTTAATAATATAAGGAAAATGCTAGGCTTATCACATTTTTTTAAAATTTTAAATTTTTTTATTTATCTTTTTACAGTTATTATGAAATATTTTATTCAATTTCGTTTTCATTCCCGATATAAACCCAAAAATAAAAATTCTACAAAGAACCGAGTAAAGCCGCACAACTATGCTATTTCTTTTTAAAAAACTAGAAAAAACCGAGTATAATCGAGTGGCTATAATATTTCTTTAAAACAAATTTAGAAAAAACCGAGTATAGCCACGAGCCCACGTGTCATAAAGAGTATAGCCACGTAATTATACTATTTAAATACATTATATGTAAATGGTATAGCCGATCGGCTATACTATGTAATATAAAAAAAAATTAAGAAAAAGGACCATCCTAGTTGCATTAGTTTATTCGGCTATACGAAAATATGTACGTGTTTTATTTGGTAAAATTTTGGCAAATTACAACTTAAAAGTTAGGCCACTATATAATATTTTAATATATTTTATTTAATTTATTTTTTCATATATAATATTTTAATTCAATAATATGTGAGAATTATGTGTATAATACGTCAATGTTTTGTGCATTATTGAAAATGTTGTAAAAAATACATGTATTAAACATGAAAAATACGTACATAAATGTTCAATATGAGTATTGTACGTTTGCTTTTAAAAAAAGAGTGAATTTTACCGAGTTTTTAAGATGTTTACAAAACATGGATGCATTATTGAAAAATAGGTACGTACATGTATAATATAGTATTAAACGTGAAAGTTTTAAATTCTTTATACGGGTAATAACTCTGGAAAAGTGAAAAATCAAAAGGGTACAATAGAGACTCAGGTAATGGCCTAATAGCAATGGATAATGCTCTAAACTACTCTTATAGATAAACGAAAAATCGGGGAAAAAGATTTAGAAGAAAAAAAGGATCCCACTATGTTTTAAAAGAGTATAGCCTCTCGGCTATACTATTTATTAACAAATATTAAAACAAAACAACAAAGTGCAGCCGCGCGGCTATACTTGTTTTTAATAAATAGGCAGCTACGTGAGAAATCTATCAAGACAAAGGTAGGATTTTTTAAGTATCCTTTTGATTGTCTGTTGTGGGAATGTTATGAACTATAACATTTATCTATTTTCAGGTTGGCACGTTTTCTGTTTTGAAAGAGTTTGTGGTGGTCTTGCCAGATTGCCTGGCTGATCACATTGGTTCACTCATTCCAGGAATTGAAAAGGCATTAAGTGTAAGTAAAATTGTCTCAAATTGGAAGTGTATTTTGAACTAATATAATTTTTTTTTCTGATGCCGACATTTGTTCCCTTACCTTTTTGAGGGGGTTCCTTTTAATTTTTTCTAGGATAAGTCTTGTACCTCCAATTTGAAGATTGAAGCTCTTATATTTGCACGATTGGTGCTGGCTTCACATTCTCCTTCTGTTTTCCATCCTTATATCGAGGTAAGTGCAGTAACTCGTACGAATATGCTATGTTAGGAATATGCTGATATGATATCGAGAAATAGACCACACATGCCTATTCTTATGCAGGAGCAGGAGGTAAAGGAGTGTGCTATATCTTGCATGGGTCTAGTTGTCTTGTGTCAACATTTGGTGATAACCTTGATGTTGAACTACCTGTATGCCTTCCTGTACTGGTCGATCGGATGGGAAATGAGATCACTCGACTTACAGCTTGTGAAGGTAATTCTTTTTTGCTCACTTTTGTGACTGACTGTAACTGTTCGTTTGCCATCTGTAGGCTGATGTCTATTTTTTGGCCTTTCTTTTCTGAAGATATGCATACATTTGGGAGTACTAACGTGTTTTGCATCCAGGCATTTGCTGGTCTAAGGCCTTAAGTGTTTTGCATCCAGGCATTTGCTGTCATTGCTGCTTCTCCACTGAAAATAGATCTATCATGTGTGTTGGAGCAAGTGATTGCAGAGTTGACTGCATTCTTAAGGAAGGTATGGAAATTTACTTAATTTGTTGTTGAATTCATAATCTTTTTTACAAAATGTTTTATGAGATTTTTTCTTAGAATCACTCAAAGACCTATGAAATTAATCCTAATATTCTTTGCCTTTGTGGAAATCAGGCTAATCGGCCTCTAAGACAGGCAACGTTGGGGACCCTGAATTCCCTAATTGTTGCTTATGGTGATAAAATTGGCTCATCTGCTTATGAAGTTATTATTGTACAACTTGCCACACTGATAAAGTTTCTCTTGCTACTTCCACCAATTTTATTTTCTTCTTTTCAAATTCTTGTGTGATTGGTGGCTGGGTCCTGGGTGGTTTAGTTTCTGAACCCTAGTGTCTATCTAATACCCATTTCCAGTGATTCAGACTTGCATATGAAGGCCCTCGCCCTGGAACTCTGCTGCACCTTACTAGACTCTCTGCTATCAGGTGCTAAACCATCTCCCCAGTCAGGTGGGGTTGCAAAACAAGCTTTGTATTCAATAGCTCAATGTGTGGTTGTCCTTTGCCTTGCTGCTGGTGATCAGCAATGTTCATCTACCGTGACATGCTAACTCATGTAAGAAGGTTTATTACATTAAACCTACTGAAGTGATCTTCTAATCAACTAAGGATTGCAAAGATTCATTGTTTATCAGGGACTCAAAACCTATCTCGATTAGGAAGCCTCTAAACAGTGTTTAAGAAGGATAATGAAGGCTTAAGGGTTCCTAGTTCTACAAGGATTGTAACAGATTAAACCTATAGCATGAAGGATATCTCTAAGTGTTTCTTGATGGGCAAGACACTTAGAGAGATGCATATAAATAGAAGGCTCCCTCCTAGATCCGATACACAACAAAAGCTAATCAGAAAATTCACCCATCAGAGTTATAGCTATCAAGATCGGTTTCTAAGGAGAAGAGCTTCTTTACCTTCTTTCCTTGCGCAGCCAATCTGTTTCAGCATCATCAGATCTGCTCCAGCACCATGACGGATTCAGGTTAGTGTTCTATGTGTTATAGCTCTAAAGTATTTACAACTCAAAGATGACAGCAGTACAAATTCAGTAAGTCCCCCTCTCGAAAGATAACAACTCAGTTAGGGTTATCTTCACAGATGACAGTGTTTTGGTTTTTGTAAGCAAATAGGGATAGACTAATTAACTTGGACCAGATTGACAATCAACAGAAAAAACAGCTATCTCTTGCTTCATTCTCGGAAGGAGGTGCATTCTTCTGAACTTTAAGAGCCTGATTTGTTTCCTGAAATGTTTTTTCTGTTGGGTTTAAGTTTATTTTCAACCATTTTTCAGGTCATAGTAAGGCAGTCTGTAGATAAAGCAGAGTTTCAGGATTCGAGTGTTGGGAAGATACTTAATTTACTTTTCAATCACTGTGAAAGCGAGGAAGAGGGTGTTCGCAATGTAGCAGCTGAATGTCTGGGTAAAATTGCACTTACTGAACCTGCAAAACTTGTTATCTGGTCAAATGACCCTGTGCCTTCTCCATAAGATTATGACTAAAGAGTATTTTTAACTTTTATTTTTTAGTATAGCCGAGCGGCTAATAAAAATAAAAATAGTATGGCCGCACGGCTATACTATACTTAAAAATAAAAAAGGGCATGGCTATACTTTAAAATTAAAAAATTGTATAGCCGCGCGGCTATACTATTTAAATATTCGAATATATTTAGAACCAATGGCCGTGCGGCTATACTTAAAAATAAAAATTAAAAATAGTACAGCCGCAAATAAAAATAAAAGTAGTATAGCCGCGCGGCGTTACTACCTTAAATTTTTTTTTCCCCTGACTTCAATGATAACCCGAGTCTAACATCATTTGGCCTTTCATGAGATGAAGTTAGTTCTATATGATGAAAAATAAGATTGTTTCATAAAAATAATAGACTAATTTAAAGGATTGTTGTGGCTTTACTCATTAAGTAATACTAAGAGTAGTAATTTATAAACGTAATAATCTTTCAATTTGATTCTAGAAGTCGACAAGAAAATTTGAATGGTGGAAAAAAAATATGTCCAACCAAACTATATATTTAATTAGTTGAGGCTTGAACTGGCAGTTAGGTCTCGTTTGATGACTAGTATTGGATTAGATTGGATAACTCCTTATATTTAGGGATATGATTTCCCCACTCTCATTTTCTCCACTTACACTCCCTTTTTCTTTTTAATACTTTTTAATCAATTTTGTTCCTTCTCTTTCCTATTCTACCCTTACCCAACATTAATTTCTTTTTACTTCACTTTTAGATTAGTTCTTTTTCTTTGTACTTAATTTTCCAATTTGCACTCCATTTTCAGTATTTTTTTTTCCTTTAATCGAGTAAGAAATTAAGTTTTGTTTTTTCCCTTTAATACTAAAAATGGAGTGTAAGTTAGAAAATTAAGTATAAAGAAAAAGAAATAATATAAAAGTGAAGTAAAAAAGAAATTAATGTAGAGTAAGGATAGAATAGGAAAGATAAACAACAAAATTTATTAAAAAGTATTAAAAAGCAAAAGGGAGTGTTAGTGGAGAAAATGGGAGTGGGGAAATCAGCTCCCTATATTTAAAGCATATGTTTAAGGAACAAATGAAAAAAATATTGACCAAGTTGAAGGTAAAAGATGGATTACTCATGAAGAAAACTTATCCCATCTAATCCCTACAAAATTGTAGGATAGCAACACTTTATAATTAATCCTTCCTAATCCCCCTAAAATGGAAAATCATTCACATCTACCTTCATTTCCTCCTTCAAAATACCTTAGATTTAACGACTTATCCAATCCAATCCTAAGTGAGCGATCTTAAGTTGGAATTGGTGGAGTTGGTAGAGGGAGGAGTTGTCGTCATTGTCATTCGTTGAGGAGAGAGCGAAGAGAGAAGGGAATAAGGCAAGAGAGGGAAAGAAAACAATAGTGCAGCCGCGCGGCTATACTACACTTAAAAAAATTAAGAAAAAAACACAAGTGTAGCCGCGTGAATGTACTATTTATTAAAAAATAGGCTTAATTACAATTTAGTACCTTGTACTTACACCCTTAAGACATGTTAGTCCCCGTATTTTCAATTTTAACAATCGCATACCCTTAGTTTGTAAATTTTTTGCAATGTGGTTCGCCGTTAGGGTTTCTGTTAGATCTCTCTGTTAACTGCCTACGTGGCATTGTGGGTCCCACATTTTTTAATTTTTTAATTTTAAATGGATTAAAATATGAATAAAATATTAAAAATAAAAAAATATCAAAATATCAAAATATCAAAATATCTCCAAGTGGGCTCAAACTCAATAATTCGACCTGACCAAACATGAAAAAAGAAAAAAGGACAAAATTAAAAATTCTCAAACAACGATTTTGCTCAAATTTACCAGTTCAGTTGAAAAAGATCTAATTTGACTCCAACTCCGAAGTTCAAAACCCAAAGTCTCCATTTTCTCTCTTCCTTATGAAGCAGATCCTCTTCTTTCTTCAGTCCAAGAAGCTTCTGAGAGAACCCAAGAACAGGAGAAGAAACAAACCCTGAACCCAAGAACCAAGAAAAAAGAAAATTGGATGAATCGTTCTTGCTAATGCTCTCAAATCTCCTCCACCTCCACAACTCCATCGACCCAACAACTTCCCTCCTCTCCACCACCACCACCTCCTCGCTCCCCCTTCCCCCTCGATTTCTTCTTCCCTGCCCCGACCCTAAACTCCAAAATCACGAAGACTGGGAGCAGCAGCTTGGGAAGATGACGAAGACTGGGAGCAGCAGCTTGGGAAGACGACGAAGACTGGGAGCTCGTGAATGAAGACGGCTTCGTTTTCAAACGTAGGAAGAAGTGCTGGGTCGACCCATCTGCCGACTCGTCGCTCCGGGCTCCACCGTCTGCGTCTGCCGCGGATCTACAGGAGGATGCCGAGAAACTCCAGAGAGAGCGGAAGAAGAAGTCGCTTTTGAAGCTCAAAACTCAGTACCAGGCGGAGTGGGTCAGTGGTGGATGAGCTTCTCTCGTGGGTCAGTGGTGTATGAAAATTGAAAGATTTTGGGTCTTAGGGTTTTGCAAGGCCAGAAATTTATGCTCCACGACACCAATTCGGGGCTCAGTTGAGCTGATTTCTCCCTGGAATATTTTGCTTCCGCTGAATATAAAATTACAGTGATGCTTGCTTTTAGTATCATCAGTGCTTGGGTGCGGGTGGTGGTCATCGGTGAATGGGGGAAGAAGAAAATCGCGAGGGCTCTGGTTTTGGAGTTTAGGGTCGGGGCAAGGGGAGAAGAAATCGAGGGGGAAGGGGGAGGGAGTCTGGGTGGTTGCCGGCTGGGGTCTTGGTTCGTTTGGAGGTGGGGGTTTTGGAGGATGGCTGCGAGTGGGCATGGTGGAATGAAGGGGAGAAGAAAATCGCAGCGGTTTGGGAAAATTTTTACACAGAGAGA